ATAGTTCACTTTCACGAAATTATTTTTTTTGCAACGGATTTATGATTTTTTATGTTCAAAATAATCAGCAAAGAAAATAAAACCTTTTTATAACAAAAAATTATTTTCTATATTTTGATATAGGAAGAACTTTTCAGTTTCTGTAAGGCACACGCGATCCAGTATGAAAAGAGCATGGGTCCCGAAAATTCTTCAGAAACAGAGAAATTATCGCAGCCACCGGCATTTGGGCGATCTGCTCGATCTGATAATGTTCCCCTGAATGTCCTAATTGATCAGTACGAGAATTTCTCTAGAGTTCTCGTAGATAATTTCTCTACTTTCTGAAGAATTTTCGGGACCCATGCTCTTTTCATACTGGATGGAAATATATGCAAGGCACACATCCTCAACGCAAGACACCTTTTTCGGGAATATCTTTGCCTAGGGTGATCGTTGGGCTGTAAAAGCTCCTGATTTATGCTCGTCTCAGCTCAAGCTACGGAACTGCTATTCCAGTTCAAAACCCATGTTAAAAAGTGAACTATTTCCTTTAAGTTAAAAAAAAGATTTCGTTTTCATGGCTAGAAATAGTATGTATCTTTAAAATAAAACGATGAAACGGAGCATTAGTTTTTGGATGATCAGTTTCTAATCATATAGGTAAAGGAAACTGCATTTCATGAACTAAGCATATCACGCCCCGACACAATCGGCATAATGGGTGTAACCGAAACACTGTCATTACATCTTGAACACCTGCTTACCAGCCTGCTAATCTCTACCAGCCTGCTAATCTCATATCCAGTCTACTAATCTCATCAGAGTTACCACGAGCACAATCGGCTACATTCCAATGGCAACGAGCATCTCAATTCTCCCAGCCACGCCCTAACCGTCGACCGCAGTGTCCATGAGCCCATGAACCGCCCATTCTGCTGATGAACAAAGGCCACTCCGAGATAGGCGCCCAGCCGACTGAGTTGATGTATATTACTAGCTTCGAAGCAGGCTATGAACACAGCTGGTGTTCCAGCTTACTGCCTCGTTTTTCACGTAAGTTTACCGAGATAACGTCAGAGTCCTAGCTGTAATGGATTCGTGAATAAGCGATAAATTAACGACTCGCGTAACTGTTCATCCGAACTGCTTCGGATCACGTGAAGATATAATTTGGGGTACTTAGTAACGCCGATGTGAAGGTTAACTGTCTCAAATATGTAAATATTCACACTGCAGTATGGACCTGCAATCTGCATTGAACTTGAACGCCTATTTATGGTGATATTTCCAGAGAGCGCGTTTTACTTGATGAGGGCAGGTGCATGTGCTACGTATAGTGGGTATCTACTGTCCAGTGTCTAGTATCTACTTAGAGACGATAAACATTACTCACTGGCACGAAAAGATCCCTATTTCGCCGCTGACCCTCACATATCACTCAGGTGAACGATAGCTGTAATACTGAAGACTTCCCTCCCTGATGCAGCCAATGATACACTCCTGCCCCGTCTCCAATTTCAGCCCCCGTATCACGTCTCGTGTGCGAGAGGTCACGCCAAGTCGCCGAGTCGCGTGAGGGACGCCGATCGGGCATCAGAGCGGCGCCGGGGGCCGTCGCAGCCGGATGCCGCTCTCGCAGCTGGTGACGGGCGTGTCGGCTGGGCAGGGCCGCGGAACGACGGGCGTGCGTCCCGCCCCGCCCCGACGCTTTTCACGCGGGAGGGGGCTGAGGGGGGGAGTGAAGGTATGTCCCCGCGGGCACCACTGCTCGCGGGTTCGGCGTCCGTGGCCGTGGCCGTGGAGTGTCAGCACCGTGGGCGCTGTCTCCCGCTCGGTATCTTCTGCCGGAGGCCTGGGCGCGGTGCAACACGGAAGGTCGAACGGCCCGGCGATCCGGCGCCTCATGCCCCGTGTCAGAGACATCAGTGGTCGGTGGTATCAGGGGAAGGGAGCGGTGCATATGGACGCTCCCACGGACCCATGGTCCACTGAACGAACGAGTGCTATTCCAGGACCGCGCGCAAGGCCAGCCCTCCGCGAAATGGTGGGGGGTGGTGACAGGATTCCCACGATCGGTTGAAACTGCTCTCATTTGTTAGCAACACGTGTAATTAAAGGGACACTCCCACCTTAACATTAGTTTTGAGTTGAGATAGCCAAATTGGTGGCCATGGCCTGCAAATACCGGTTTGGGCACTCACAGCATCGACAAATGCTTTAATTCGGAGATATGGAATTTCAAACTTGCAGTTTTCGGATTCTAAGGGGCTAGTGCATTGGTATGCCCCCTTAGAATTTGTGACGTCAGCGGATATCTAACGATTTTTAAATCTTTTACTAAAACGTTTGGTAGCACGCGGTGGTATATGCTGCTTTGCGCGCAACAAATGCCGCACTTTCAAATAAAGTCGCTAGGAACAGCGGAGATCCCAAAAAGTAAACAAAAGTAAAAGTCTAATATCTTGAAAACCGGTGAATATTTTTCGATGAAATTTGGTAGATATTCGTTTTCGCTCTTTCTGAACCGAGCGACATCACTTTCGTGCCAATTCATTAACTTTTTTGAAGGTGGGAGGGTCCCTTTAATGATGGTAAATATGCATGACAACGCATAAACACAGCATTGAAAACAACACACATCAGACGCGTGATTACGCAGATATAAAGTCATATTGATAAGTCATATTAAAATAAATGTCATATAATCAAACTTATCAAACATATAAAACAGCACCGTTAATGCGGTAACTGAAACTATATAGTTAATTTGGTAGCCTGGGAAGCACTAATGACTGAAGCCGTCATTCACTTAACCCTCGCCGGCCGAGGGGGGGGGGCGGGTGCCGCCCCCCCCCATAGGGTTTTTTCGCGATAGCTCCGAACACGCTGGCGATAGAGAGCTGAAACTTGGCATACCTGACCTTTGATCCAAGCCACATCTTTTGACACCAACCGCATTTTTAGGTCAGGTCAGGTCACTGACCTATGACGTCATAAGTGAACCTCTGCACGGTCTTCAGATGTCGCAACTTCGCAACGCCCTCACTGCCAGAGGAGATGTCACAGGGAAATGAAACTTGCAGGATCTAGTATCCATTATGAGTGCCACAACTTGTATATCTCGGATTTTTCCTAAAGGTCATATGAGGTCAGGTCATTTTCGTGACCTCACCATTATAAGTCAATGGGGAAAAATGAAAACTGCTATTCTGGCGCCGGGAACGATCTCCAACTATCTCAAGCACACAGAATCGTGATTTTATGCACTCCTTGCAAGGTTAGATGCGTCACTTTTGCAATGTTGACCTTGCGTGACGTCATTTATGACGTCATCAAGGTCATATTAGTTTTTCGTCAATAACTCTTGATCAAATTGAGCTAGCGAGTCGGGAAAGCCACCAATGGACTCAGGAAGACCTGCCGAATCGAATGATATGCGACATGACCTCTTTCGACCAACTTAGTGACCTGGGGGTGCTGACCTGACCTTGACCTGAGGTCAACACCCCAAGTTGATCTGACCCGGACAAAAAGTATATCATTCGACGCGCCTGAGCGAGACGAACACGATGCTGCCAAAATCGGCGCTCTGCGGCCGTTTTTTGCGAAGTTATTCACCAAAAACTGAACCGTACCTTGGGGCACTTGACCTGACCTCAGAGGTCACCGGTTGACCTAGGACCTTAAAATCGGGTACCAATCTCTGCGTCTCGTAACGGCGCACACGCTCGTTTTTTCCGCGACGCGCTAGCTCCACCAGGGGCGAAACGGCGAGGGGGGGGGGGGCGTACCCGCCCCCCCCCCCTCGGCCGGCGCGTATGTAGAAAACCAATAGGTCCGGCGAGGGTTAATGGTTATAAGGACCTCCGAAAAAGTATCGGTTTTTAGACGTCTTTGGAACGCTCAACACAATGGTTGAAGAGTGTATTCAAATTAAGAGACGAAAATTTTGTTTGTTATAAAGGCTGAAGTGCCAAGAGTGATTGCAAGCTTGGTTATAAGGCTGACTAAAAAGACGATTTCTAGCATTTTCCAGCTGATCTGATAAACTTCACTTTGTCACCAAACCAGTCAACAGAGAGAGAGAGAGAGAAAAAAAACACCCATACTATACGTCAGAGAACACTCGATCTTAGAGAGCACTCCATCTTGTGTGTGACATTCATTTTTGAAGCTTTTGTTATGTGTTTTCGGTATGAAGGCATGAAGGCATGAAGGCATTGGAAGCACTCGGCCTGCGTGTCGGAGTTTGCTAGCTTATTGATTTACCTATGCATAAAAGAACGGTCCAAGTACAGTGCCCTAGAACACACCCGTTTAGTCATAAAAAACATGATATACATTCATTTAAATAGACATCCAGCGCCAGTGGCGAAACATTTTTAGAAGAGGCAATAAGGAATGGAGGCACAGCGTACTGCGTAGGTCTCAATATTTATAATCATTCTTTTTAATATTTTATGCAGTTTCTTTCCCGAGAAAGATGAGCTCTAAATATGCAGTTTTCAGTATTTGAGCTAGCAAACATATGTATAACGGGTGATGCCGATACAAGGATGTTCAAATAAGGATGAAATCAAAAATTTTAAATGAAACTTTGATTATCGGTTGTCGCTGGCCAGTTATCATTCGCTGCATCCTTTTCATTATGTGTCGTGTGAAAGCGGAGACTCGTATTTTGAAGTGGAACTTTTGAAAGGACACGTCCGGAGCCGAACGCTGCGCAACGTGCGCGATAATATGCAATGCCCGCCCGAAGTTCAGTGAACGCTGGACAGGCCATATCTGCACGCAGAGCGGATTGCGGATGTCCAGCGGGAAGTGGCGGCAGTGCGGGCCGCGCTGCCGGAGCAGATGCCCCGATGGGTCCGGCCGACGGGTCGCCCGCGGCTACGCCTCCAAGGTCGGCTCGCGCTGGCGCCCCGGCCCCGGCCAGGAGAGCCGCAAGGGCGTGGTCCGATGGACGGCCTCGCCCGACTATAAAAGCGGCCGAGCATCCCGGTCCGGCATCACATCCACCAGCGAGTTCAACCATGAAAGTCCTGGTGAGTACAGCGTCCTGCGACGATCACCGTCGCTGGAGCGACGACTGCTACAACAGTTCGGCGTCAAAGGCATTCGAATGAGATGTGCCGTAATTAAACAAGGACATGGGGCTAAATTTTAACTCCCGGATTAGTAAAATGTAATGTTTTACAATACCTTAATACAGCTTTCGCACAATTTTATTGTAATTTTTACAAATGCCGCTTGTTCTGTGTTTTCTCACAGGTGATCGTGTCCGCTGTCCTGGCCGCTGCGGCAGCCCAGTACCTGCCCTACGCTGGGTATGGCTACGCGGGATTCCCGTACGCCGCCGGGTACAGCCTCGCTTCTCCTCTCTACAACACCTACAATGCTCATCCCCTGACCTACACGGCTGCTGCCCCGTACACGACCTACAACGCCGCCCCGTTCTCGTACGCTCCGTACACCACGTACGCCGCCCCCGTGCCGGCCTCCGTCAGCTCTCAGTACCACGCCCAGGACGAGCTCGGCAGCTACAGCTACGGCTACGCTGACGGCCAGAGCACCAAGCACGAGAACAAGAACGCCTACGGTGGCACCGTCGGCTCGTACAGCTACAGGGACGCCAACGGCATCGTCCAGACGGTCAGCTACGTGGCCGATGCGGCCGGCTTCCGCGTGAAGGCGACCAACCTGCCGGTGGCCCCGAAGGCCGACCTGGCCGCGCCCGTGCACTCGCTGGTCGGCCCGGCTCCCGTCGACGACACTGCCGAGGTGAAGGCCGCCAAGGCCGAGTTCCAGCGGCTGTACGACGAGGCTGCCGCCGCCGCTGAGGCCGCCCCTGACGCGCGCAAGAAGCGCAGCGCCGTGGCGCCTCTGCCCGTCAGCGACACCCCCGAGGTGGTCGCCGCCAAGGCCGAGCACGCCCGCCTGTACGCCGCCGCCGCCGCCGCTGCCGACGCCGCCCCCGACACCGACGGCCCCGTCTACACCCCGGCTGTGTACTCCGGCTACGCCCCGACCTTCTACTCGGGCTACGCCGGTGTGGCTCCGTCCTTCTACGCGGGCGTGCCTGCCATCCGTCCGGCCTCTGGCTTCTCGTACGGCTACAGCTCCGCCCACCTGCCCTTCTACGGCCGCTACTTCTACTAAGCTGCAGCTCAACAACCCTTCGAGTCTGTTGTAAGCTGTTTTGCCTTCATCGTCCATTGTCGTGTTACATTCTTTGTGTTTCTCATCAGTTATCATTGACGTTCTGTGATGCCTTGATGCATCATTCATGCCAATATATTTTGTTAACAAACAAAATACAACTACGTTTTGGTCACAACGGTAGTGGAAGCAACATTGGGAAAAGGAGAGGGAATACCTAGAGTAAATACGTTAAAAAATATACATACAGCAGGTTCCAGATAAAGGCGCAAAACGTATAGCTCTAGAACAAGCTACCACGAACAGTTTACTCGCGCATGACTGAAGGGTGCTCTACAGAGCCTCCCTCCCATTTTCTGCAACATCTTCTAAATCGCTGGACGTGTCAACTCACGCCCCCCATAGATTGTTTTTTTTTTTTTCGCGATAGCTCCGAACACGCTGGCGATAGAGAGCTGAAACTTGGCATACCTGACCTTTAATTCAGGCTGGATCTTTTGATACCAACCGCATTTTCGGGTGAGGTCAGGTCACTGACCTATGACGTCATAAGTGAGTCTCTGCACGGTCTTCAGATATCGCAACTTCGCAACGCCCTCACTGCCAGAGGAAATTTCACAGGGAAATGAAACTTGCAGGATCTAGTATCCATCACAAGTCTTACGTCGAGTATTTCTCGGATTTTTCCTAAAGGTCATATGAGGTCAGGTCATTTTCGTGACCTCACCATCATAAGTCAAGGGGGAAAATGAAAACTGCTATTCTGGCGCCGGGAACGATCTCCAACCATCCCAACCACACAGAATCATGATTTCATGCACTCCTTGCAAGGTTTGATGCGTCAGTTTTGCAATATTGGCCTTGCCTGACGTCATTTTTTACGTCATTAGGGTGATATTAGTTTTTCATCAATAACTCCCGATCAAATTGAACTAGCAAGTCGGGAAAACCACCAATGGACTCAAGAAGACATGCCGAATCGAATGATATGCAACATAGCCCCTTTTGACCAATTTCGTGACCTGGGTGCGCTGGCCTGACCGTGACCCGAGGTCAACACCCTAAGCTGACCTCACCCAAACAAAAATTACATCATTCGACGCGCCTGAGCAAGGCGAACACGATGCTGCCAAAATCGCGGCTCTGCAGCCGTTTTTGCGAAGGAATTCACAAAAAAATGGGACCGGGGCTTGAGGCGCTTGACCTGACCTCAGAGGTCACCGGTTGACCTAGGTCCTTAAATTCGGATATCAATCTCTGCGTCTCGTTACGGCGCACACGCTCGTTATTTTCCGCGACACGCTAGCTCCACCAGGGGCGAAACGGCGAGGGGGGGGGGGCGTACCCCCCCCCCCCTAGGCTGGCGTGTATGTAGAAAACCAATAGGTCCGGCGAGGGTTAAACATATTTTATCTTATCCGATTTGACGAGATTAGTGCTCCCGGCTCACAAAATCTGCGTTTAAGCTGGTGCTGTATAGGATTTATGTTAGAAACTGCGCTCGTGACAGTGATAAGTGTAAAAAGTTATTGAACATCGACATTGTTTGATGAGCGTAACTCAAACGTATCTTTTGGCTAATCAATGATAGCTACATACGAAAACTTCTTTGAACACATTACCCAATTGTATGGGAGGAAATTTGAGTTGCTTGTTGATTAGTCTTTTACCTACAGGGGCATTCCACGTCAAATCAAACACCGAAATCCGTCATCCCCTTCGATTTTTCTGAAAATTTGTAGGCAGACTGGGCATGGTTCAAAACTGAGTTACGTACAATATTTTCGAAATTTGATAAAGTATCGCTGAGATAAAGGTCATCGAATATAGCCAAAAATGCCACACATCAATTTTTTAAATGTCTATAACTCTGGTTCCTTTTCTGGTATCAAAATGATATTAACAGGGTCTTGTAGGCAATTGATAAGGCTTTGATTTTTAATTATAAAATTAAATTGAAGTGACCTTGAAATGCGTTTGACCTTGAATTAAAACAGAAAAATTTAAATAGCAAAAAACACGTCACCTTCGATTCGGGTAATTTTTACATATTATGTCCGTCACAATGTTCCTAACCAACTGTGAAAAAATTGGAGTGGGCCATTCATAACTCTCGCGGCAAACGCCGTTTTCATGCATCAACATCACGCAACCGCGCGTGACCTTGAAAGACAGAGTCAAGACATGCTTGCTTGTGTACACTTTCTGAAATGAATGATTGCTGATTAGTGATATCCCAAACTCTGCGAGAATGGAAATACATAGTCATCGTAGTCAAGCATTCAAGTTCCATAGTAAAAGTGTCTCAGGCAAACGGCATTTTGCGGTGAATTTTGAGCCGTGTGGAAATGCATCATGAAGCCAAAAATTCAACGAAAACATTATCACGCAACGATATCTTCTCGTCTTTTTATCTTCACTATTCGAAAGAATATACATTTTTGAGCATGTATGGGGGAATTTCTAGTTAATCCAATAATAAATATGGCAGTTAGAGTCTAGAGACCTGCTAAGAGTAACATGTCTCCGGCTGAGGCGGGATCGGCCGACGCGGGAAACGCAGCAATCACAATTTTGTGTTTACACGTTCATATTTCAATTGTTTACCAACTGATTTTCAAAATTCTTACACCATAAGATTGCCTGTTCATTTCTTAGTCTTCTCACAAAATTTGACGTGAATCGAACGTAATCAGCGGTAAGGAGCGCGATGTAAAGACGGAACCGTTCCGTTCCGTCCCGGCACAGTCTACAATTCAGGCGGCGGCTAGCGGTCGGCGCCGGCTGCCGAGTCGCCGCGTCGCCGCGGCGACAGGATGTTCACTTTACACCGCTATTACTAGACCAGTTGTGAACCGATTTTCTTCTTGCTTGCACGATGAGATGTGCAATTCAATTTTGGACAGGTAGCTATAATTAATTTCGCATTAATACTATGAGATATTGGCGAAAAACAGGAGTGGTGGGGCGAAATTCACTCTCCCCCCTCCACTGCGCGTGCTAACATACGTTTGCATAGGTGCCATTTTCTTCAAAACTTATGAATGGCCCACTCTAATTTTTTCACAGGTTGTTAAAAATATGGTAGGCAATAAAATATATGAAAATTAGCCAAATCGAAGGTGACGTGTTTTTTGCTATTTCAATTTGTGTGCTTAAGAACAGAGTTAAGCAAATTTCAAGGTCATATATTTAAGTAGGTGCAATTCTAAACAAATGCTTAAGAAATTACCTCAACAGTAAGGTTTATTTCATTCAAATCAAACAAGTACAACCAAAGTTATGGTCGTTCAAAAATATAAAGATGCAACATTTTGTAAAAATTCGATGCCCTATATTTAGAAGACCTGTGGTCAGAATGTGCAAAAAACATCAATGTAATGTTCGGGGCGACACAGGAACTCGCTCACAAATTTATAATGAAATCGCTGATGGTAAGGTGCAAAACAGCCGATTTTTGTTCGATTTGACGTGGAATGCCCCTACAGTTACATAAATAATAATATTGCAGAATAAACAGAAGGAAGCTATGCTTTTTTTAAAATAAATTTAGTCCGAACCTTTTGATAGGAAGGATTCACAAGGACAGAGCCACCGCTAAGCGACGTTTGTTGCGGTGACCCTGCCCTCTACCCTCCGATCGCGCAATTCCAGTACTATGGCAGAATTTAGAGTCCAAAGTTTAACGTGCGCACATAGCCGCGCACCAGTCCCCTCACTGACTTCGCCTGACTACGGCCTGCCACCAACCGCAACCATACCTGTCAGGAGGCCCATAAATGTCAAGCGCCCTTCGCGCTTCGAACCCGGACTGTTATAACCGGGAACGCCTGCTCTCACCACGCGGAGTCCAACGCTCTACCAACTGAGCTACGGGATCGGCTATTAACATTATAGGTGGTTCCCCAGTCAACCGTAGACAATTTTTTTTTCGAAATTGTATTATCAAGGCATCAGTTATTCATGAGACATTGAACACTCGAAAAGTGCTAATTTAGTCATCAGCGACTACAGTTCTTAAACCTCTTCACTGGTGATGTCAATTACAGAAAATCGGAATACCGATACCAAACCAAATGCCAACCAAAACCGTGGGGAAATACCGAAACCGAACTAACTTTGAAAGATGAGGGAAATACCAACTTTTTACCAATTTTTTAGCCTCTTATACATTAGCAAGGGCTCATAATACCAACAAAATACCAAACACATTAGGATTGAAATACCAAATGCCAAGTTGGTATCGGTTTGGTATCGGTATACCAAAAAGTTGGTATCCGATTGACATCTCTACTCTTCACCAGTTTTGATAAGTGAACAAGAATCAGCGGCCAGATTTACCAACAGAAAAATAGCCGCTTGCCGGAAATTTTTGGCTAAAGACCGCTTCACATACGGAGCGTTAACTAATAACTTGATAGGCGGCAGATAGGGCTTTACGGCTTAGCTCCGTATGTGAAGAGATCTTTAGGCAAAAAATTCCGGCAGGCGGCTATTTTTCTGTTGGTAAATCTGGCCTCTGATCTTCTGTAGCAGACTAGGTACGAAAATAAGCCAGTGAAAGACATTTATATTTCTTCGTATACCTATACAAAGAATGAATCCAAATTAAAATTTGTCATGTAGTAGGTAACTCTGATCTAGGGATAAGAAAAATAGTAATTCAACAAACGTAAAAACGAGCGATACTGATGTGTGGTCATCCCATTAGAATTGGTATTGAAATGTCCCTTTGTTAACCCGCGCCCCGCTGGGCTATTCAGCCATACGCGCCCTGCTGGGGGGGGGGGGGGGCAGATTCTGCCCCCCCCTGTCTAACTTCCGAACCGATGGTCGTAGAAAGACGGGGAAAACGGCAATCGAAAGCTCTCAACAAGGCGGATCTTAAGAGCCCAAATTTTTTTGCTTAAGTAGGTCAGAGGTCAGGTCAAGGTCAGGTCAAGGGTACAAAATACAAGTTTCTACAGTATCGGCCTTGCACCGTAGTTGCCGAAGAATGGACTGAGACTGATTGCCCAAAACGTGTTCTTAGACTACCAAGACAATATTCATTGCACACAATGTCATTTAAAGGTCAAGGTCAAGGTCAGGTCAGGTCAGGTCAGGTCACCAAAAACAAAATATAGAAAAGGGCATGTGCGACACATGTTTTATGGGTCATTTTACTCATGGAATTCAATAGGCACACTCAATAAGTGATATGGACCACCTCTGGATGAATTTCAGGTCGAGGTCAGGTCAAGGTCAGGTCAAGTGAGGTCAAATTTTGAAGTTGGTTGTTAAGGCCTAAAAAGGTGTCTATTCGATGCAGTTTTTCACGGCGAATCGAATGGTGCTATTTTTGTTTCCGTACGAGGTCTAGAACTTCCAAAAAAATCATTTTTCAAAATTTTTGTGTGTCGTGACGTCATAAAATTTTGAATAACTCCCACATTTTTGAACCGATTCTTCTAAAAATTGGTATGTAGGTGCACATAGACCACTTCTTTGACATATATTCCGGTTTTTTCGATAAACTCAAAATTTTGGATTTTATAAATATTTTCCCAAAAAAGTCAGTTTTTTGGAAAAATTTTGGCCAAAATCCTAAATTTTCAAAAAACCGAGATAGCCATTTGATAGACAAAGTAGAATCACGTATAACCTTTTTTGTTACGTCTTGATTCCTTTAAAAATGAACATGTTAGCGGCGTTTGAAATTTTGCCGTTTTTGAGGCGAAAATGGCGAACATGACGTCACTAAAACGTCAATTTCTCAAAAAATTTCCGACGGATTTTGCTCAAATTTTCAGGGAACGTGTCAAATTGATGTATGATAAGGTACTGAAAGTTTGACGTCGCTGGCGTAACGCGTTTAGAAGTTATTGGCGAAAAACGGGAGGGGGGGCAGATTCTGCCCCCCCCCCCCAGCGGGGCGCGGGTTAATAAAATTACCTCTTTTAGCAATATTACCTTCCATTCGGATATGTTTCAACTTCTGGGTAACATAGTATCTGCGGTGAGTATGCGGTAGCGCCTGTGGTCCCCGGCACGGCGGTCAGTCTGGTGTTCCTAGACGGGCGTGGCTCCTCCCGCCTGCCTGCCTCCGGGGGCTACTCCAGCGCGGTATAAAACCGGCCTCCACCGGGCCTCACACACCACAGTCACCAGCGAGTTCAACCATGAAAGTCCTGGTGAGTGGACAGACGAGCTTGGTTGTAAGAAATCTGAACGATATATCAAAATACGTTGTAACTACCCTTACCTACTATTGGCTATAATTCGTAATCGCTGCCAATTTCTTAACCCGCGCGGGGCTGGGGTCTCCAGCCGAACGCGCGGGGCTGGGGGGGGGGGGGGTAAATTTTACCCCCCCCTGTTATCTCCCGAACTAATGGTCCGATTTGGAAAATTCAAACGCCAATCGAAAGATCTCATCACGAACAATTAAAAACATGTACTTAATTTTAAGTTTGAGGTCAAGGTCAAAGTCAGGTCAAGGGTACAAATTGCAAGTTCCTACAGTATCGGCCTTGCACCGTAGTTGCCGAAGAATGGAGTCATGGACTGAGACTGATCGCCCAAAACGTGTTCTTAGGCTACCAAGACAATATTCCTTGCATACAATATCATTCAGAGGTCAAGGTCAAGGTCAGGTCAGGTCAGGTCAGGTCACCAAAAACAAAATATAGAAAAGGGCATGTGCGACACATGTTTTATGGGTCATTTTACTCATAGAATTCAATAGGCACACTCAATAAGTGATATGGACCACCTCTGGATGAATTTTAGGTCGAGGTCAGGTCAAGGTCAGCTCAAATGAGGTCAAATTTTGAAGTTGGTTGTTAAGGCCTAAAAAGGTGTCTATCTGATGCAGTTTTTCACGGCGAATCGAATGGTGCTATTTTTGTTTCCGTACGAGGTCTAGAACTTCCAAAAAAGTCATTTTTCAAAAATTTTGTGTGTCGTGACGTCATACAATTTTGAATAACTCCCACATTTTTGAACCGATTCTTCTAAAACTTGGTATGTAGGTGCACATAGACCACTTCTCTGACATATATTCCGGTTTTTTCGATACACTCAAAAATTTGGATGTTATAGTTATTTTCCCAAAAAAGTCAGTTTTTTGAAAAAAAAAAATTGGGCAAAAATCCAAAATTTTCAAAAAACCGAGATAGCCATTTGATAGACCAAGTAGAATTACGTATATCCTTTTTTGTTACGTCTTGATTCCTTAAAAAATGAAGATGTTAGCGGCGTTTGAACTTTTGCCGTTTTTGAGGCAAAAATGGCGAACATGACGTCACTAAAACGTCAATTTCTCAAACATTTTCCGACGGATTTCGCTCCAAATTTCAGAGAACGTGTCAAATTGATGAAAGAAAAGGTACTGAAAGTTTGGCGGCGCTGCGCGCCGCCGTTTCGAGATATTGCAAATATTCGCGAGGGGGGGGGGTAAAATTTACCCCCCCACCAGCCCGGCGCGGGTTAAGGTTTCAGAGATTTGAGCCTAATCCTTATATTCATGCACTGTTTTCGTTGCTTTCAAATCAATAATGATTTCATGCGAAGATAACTGAAAAAAAGGTGGTAAAACTAAACTATTTGTGGGTCCACCAAAAGTAAAGTTACCATTTTTGTCTTTTATTGCAGGTGATCGTGTCCGCTGTCCTGGCCACTGCGGCAGCCCAGTACCTGCCCTACGCTGGGTACGGCTACGCGGGATTCCCGTACGCCGCCGGGTACAGCCTCGCTTCTCCTCTCTACAACACCTACAATGCCCATCCCCTGACATACACGGCTGCTGCCCCGTACACGACCTACAACGCCGCCCCGTTCTCGTACGCTCCGTACACCACCACCACGTACGCCGCCCCCGTGCCGGCCTCCGTCAGCTCTCAGTACCACGCCCAGGACGAGCTCGGCAGCTACAGCTACGGCTACGCTGACGGCCAGAGCACCAAGCACGAGAACAAGAACGCCTACGGCGGCACCGTCGGCTCGTACAGCTACAGGGACGCCAACGGCATCGTCCAGACGGTCAGCTACGTGGCCGATGCCGCCGGCTTCCGCGTGAAGGCGACCAACCTGCCGGTGGCCCCGAAGGCCGACCTGGCCGCGCCCGTGCACTCGCTGGTCGGCCCGGCTCCCGTCGACGACACTGCCGAGGTGAAGGCCGCCAAGGCCGAGTTCCAGCGGCTGTACGACGAGGCTGCCGCCGCCGCTGAGGCCGCCCCTGACGCGCGCAAGAAGCGCAGCGCCGTGGCGCCTCTGCCCGTCAGCGACACCCCCGAGGTGGTCGCCGCCAAGGCCGAGCACGCCCGCCTGTACGCCGCCGCCGCCGCCGCTGCCGACGCCGCCCCCGACACCGACGGTCCCGTCTACACCCCGGCTGTGTACTCCGGCTACGCCCCGACCTTCTACTCGGGCTACGCCGGTGTGGCTCCGTCCTTCTACGCGGGCGTGCCTGCCATCCGTCCGGCCTCTGGCTTCTCGTACGGCTACAGCTCCGCCCACCTGCCCTTCTACGGCCGCTACTTCTACTAAGCTGCAGCTCAACAACCCTTCGAGTCTGTTGTAAGCTGTTTTGCCTTCATCGTCCATTGTCGTGTTACATTCTTTGTGTTTCTCATCAGTTATCATTGACGTTCTGTGATGCCTTGATGCATCATTCATGCCAATATATTTTGTTAACAAACAAAATACAACTACGTTTTGGTCACAACGGTAGTGGAAGCAACATTGGGAAGAGGAGAGGGAATACCTAGAGTAAATACGTTAGAAAATAAACATACAGCAGGTTCCAGATAAAGGCGCATAACATATAGCTTTAGAACAAGCTACCACGAACAGTTTACTAGCGCATGACCGAAGGGTGCTCTACAGAGCCCAGGGGCGGATCCAGGAAATCTCCAAGGGGAGGGTCATGGATCGAAGTGGTGCCCCTACCTATACCCAAAATTAAAAACTCAACGGATTTCGTCCACTTCATTTTGGTGGTGCCCCCATTTTCATTTTTTTATTTTTTATTTTTAGTCAGTATCTTAGCTCTTAGCCACAACCACATTTACCAATTGTAAGCAAGTATATATGAATGTGCTATGTGTATATATGTTGTGGACGCTGAGTAGTGAGTACTTACCAGGAACGTTATCAGGTAAGCAAATCGTTGTCAGTCCGACGAACTTGACCCTGGCGTCTAAAGGGTCTGTCCTTGACACTTCAGGCTTGTCAGGGGGCAGGGGCACCAAAGTCCTTCCAGGGACACCACAAACCTGTCAGGGGCACCTACGGCCTGGTAGGGGCGCCACAGGCCCGCCAGGGGCACCACAGGCCTGTCAGGAAGCAGGGGCACCACAGGTCTAGCAAGTATACACGACAGGCCTGTCAGGGGCACAACGGGCCTGTTGGGCCCATGAGCACCCCTAGGGGCAGGGGCACCACAGTCCTTCCAGTGGCACCGCAGGCCTGTGAGGGGCACCAGCGGCCTAGCAGGGGCACCAGTCAACACAGGCCTGCCAGGGGCACCACAGACCTGCCAGGGGCACCAGAGGCCTGCCAGGAGCACCACCGACCTCGCAGGGGTAACATGGGCCTGTCAGGGCCCAGGGGCACCACGGGCTTGTCGAGAGGCACTTCAGGCTTTTCAGGGGCACCATAGTCCTCTCCGGGCGCAGGGGTAGCAGGGGCACCAGAGGCCTGCCAGGGGGCACTACAGGCCTAGCAAGGGCACCACTGGTCTATCAGGGGCACCACGAGCCTGTCATAGCCAGGCATCTCAGGCTTGTCAAGGCCCAGGGGCACCACAGGTCTGTGAGGGGCACCAGCGACCTAGCAGGGGCACCAGTCAACACAGGTCTGCCAGGGGCGCCACAGACCTGCCAGGGGCACCACAGACCTGCCAGGGGCACCAGAGGTCTGCCAGGGGCACCACCGGCCTCGCAGGGGCACCTTGGGCCTGTCAGGGGCACCACGGGCCTGCCGAGGGGCACTTCAGACTTTTCAGGGGCACCAGTCCTCTCCGGGCGCAAGGGCACCAGAGGCCTGTTAGGGGCACCAGAGGCCTGCCAGGGGCACCAGCGGCCTAGCAAGGGCACCAGAGGCCTGCCAGGGGCACCACAGGCCTAACAAGGGCACCACGGGCCTGTCAGGGGCACCTCAGGCTTGTCAGGGCCCAGGGACACCACAGTCCTTCCAAGGGCACCGCAAGCCTGTCAGTGGCACCAGAGGCCTGCCAGGGGCACCACAGGCCTAGCAAGGGCACCACTGGTCTGTCAGGGGCACCTCAGGCTTGTCAGGGCCCAGGGGCACCACAGTCCTTCCAGGGGCATTACAAGCCTGTCAGGGGCACCAGAGGCCTAGCAAGGGCACCACAGGCCTGCCATGGACACCACAGGCCTGCCAGGGGCACCACCGGCCTTGCAGGGGCGCCTCAGGCCTGTCAGGGGCACCACGTGCCTGCCGGGGACACTTCAGGCTTGTCAGGGGCGTTACAGTCCTGTCAGGGCCCAGGGGCACCAGGCCCGTGGTGTCCCTGTTAGGCCTGTGGTGCCCCTGGCGGTCCTGTGGTGCCCCTGTCAGGACTGTGATACCCCTGATAGGCCGGTGGTGCCCCTGGCAGGTCTTTGGGCCCCCGGGCCTCAAGGGGGGGGGGCATGACCCATGTGACCCCCCCCCCTTGGATCCGCCCCTGACAGAGCCTTTAGTCCCGTTTTTCTGAAACATCTTCTAAATCGCTATTCGCTGGACGTGTCAACACAACTTGCAGTACCTTCGGCTGAATCACTGTGACACTTTATGACATAAAAAATGCATATAGATTGGCCGGAAATGACGCAATAGTGATGGCATGCTCGGACGATTTTGGTGCAAAGCATTGCACTACGGCAATCGCTCTCAAGAGCTCATTTTTAACCCGCGCCGGGCCGGGGGGGGAGGGTGTTTGAACACCCCCTGCGGTTTTTCGCAGATATTTCACCGCCGGTTTTGGCACACCTGTTTGTGCATCTTTTCCGCACATGTTGTAAAAATTTCAGACCCAAGTCGCTTTAAGTCAGGTCACCAGGTCACGCCAAGTGACCTCACCTCAGAAAAAAATAAGAATGCTCGTCATAGCTACACCGATTGATCGATTGCCTTGAAACTTTCAGCGACTGATAAGAGCAACAATATGCACCAGTAAAACGCCTTTTGGGCGACCAACGGAGCGAGCGAGAGAATGGGCCTTGCACGTGCGAAATTGCGAGGGGTACCTCCAACTAACTTGTGCACTGCACCCTACTAACCGGTCTTTAGCGATGTGCCAAATTTCAGCACAATCGGCCTAGCCGTTCTCGAGATCTGGAAGCGGCACACTGCACGTGCGCACGTGCAAGCGGGGTCCAAGCTGACTTTTGCACGGCACCCTACTAACTGGTCCCCAACCGTGTACCAAATTTGAGCGCAATCGGCCCAGCCGTTCTCGAGATCTGGGAGCGCCCCTTGCACGTGCGCACGTGCTGTAGCACCCCAACCTTAACACATGCAGATGAATTATCTGATGGAGACCTAACTGTGTACCGAGTTTCAATTCAATCGGCCCAACCGTTGTGCCGTTATTGAGGTTGCAATTTTGGGGGTTCTTAAAAAATGTCCAACTTTACCACGCGCCACGTGCGGTGGTTGGCAAGAACGCATGGTGGCCATCACACCACAGAACTTTTACGTCCAAGTGACATTCAGTAAAGAAGACCGCTTGTCAATCGGATGTCCCGTTCCTAAGATATTAGCTTTTGAAGAGCGTCCCCAAAATACTCAGGATTTTCCCTTAATTCAGTATGAGACTCCGCTCGCTTCGCTCGCTCCGTAATAAAATGTTTATCTCGGACTTTTGATATCGGTGACCTAAGGTCAGGTCAATTTTGCGGCCTTATAAGTCAGTTGGAGAAAATTGAAAAGCGCCTGTTTTGCACGAACGCCATTTTAGACACTCTCTTGGATGAGATATGGAAAATCATTTGGCTCTAGAAAACGTGGTAATTTTACGCGTATAAATTGCTCGCTATAACCAGGAATTTCAACAGTTTGTTTCACGAACAATGGATATGACTTTTCGTCCTGAATAACTAATGCATGTTTTTCCGCAGTTGTGAACAATTTCGTCGTCTCGTCAGAATAAGCATCTTCTTCACCGGAATTTTCGTCGTCTTTTGTGGACAGAAGAAAGCGTACTCGTTTGCGTCTTTTCGGGCTCAAGCGCTTTGAATGCTTTTTGACTGCATTTGAAGAAAGAATTGGTTTTAGCAAGCTCACAGAACGAGTTGAAGGGTTGTAAATTAATTTGTGCGCAATGATGAAATCAATGCCAAGGATAATGTCGCAGTTGAATGACAAAGCTTTTGTCGAAATGTAAAATTTATGTTCCACCGTTTGACCAAGAATGCTAACTTTCAGATAAACTTCACCTACTATGTCAATTGGATCACCAGTAACGCCAAGAATGGAAATAGTTGGAGGTTCGTAATCTACTTTCAAATTGTTTTGTCGTAAAAATTCTTCTGATACCAAACAGATGCTGCTGCCGGTATCGTACAAGGCTGAACAAGAGTGACCTGATATCGAAACGTCTCGCAAAACTGGGGGATTTGCTGCATGGGCCTTACGATCTGAAGCAACGCTCACATACGTATCCCCTAGCGTCGTGAGCGGTACCCTTTTGGGCTCTGGTACCTCCTAGATGGTGAGGGAGATGGTGAGCGCGAATGATTCGGAGATCGAGAGTTTCTACGGTCGTAGTTTCTTGGGGACCGCGAATACCTCGGGGATCTGTTGCGGTAGCGAGAGTAGGACCGGCTTGGCCGATCACAGCACGAATGATGTCCATGGCAAGAGGAGTCGCGGTGGTGACGGTCTGATGATGGAGGGTCGCTTTCATGCCTCCTGTGGAAGGGCCGTTGATTTCTAAAATTTTGCTGAGAAGGGTGACGGCCTCTACCGCGACCTCTACGCTGAGTTCTACCGCCACGGTTTGGTGACATATTTTGGGCCACCGACAGTTCCAAGCTTGCAATTCTTTTATGGATGTCTGCCAAATTTTTGTCGGGTTGAGTTGCGGCTGATGCAGCGCTGTTGACGGGGTCAGATGACAAAGAGGCGCTGATCTCCTGCGATCGCGCTAGCGTTATAGCAGTCTCGAAATCCGGAGGGTTGAAAGGGAGCACATGTTGGCGGATTTTGGGTTGTAGACCTTTGATGAATGTCGCCGTAACTGTTTTGTTTTTCAATTCTTTTGTTTCCGTCGAAATGTCCCATTCCGTTAAGCCTTTAGACTTTTGTCGGATTCGAGTTGCGTATGCATCGACTGTTTCGGAAGGTTGTTGTACGCAGGTCATTAGGTCCTGCAGTCGAACTGACACAGGCCTATCAGTGTGTAGGGCAGATATCAAACGGGTAGAAAAATCATCAAAAGTTTCGGCATGGTTTAAATCATGTCGGTTTCTCACCATGTCGGCTACCGACCCTTGTAGCTTGGATTTTGTGACTTTCAAAGTGATTTTATCTGGCCA